TTTTAACCACTGCAATTTTCTTCAAGGAGCTCTCTGTATGAAGCAGCATTCATCCTCCCTTACTCTCTCTGACCCGCAGTGTGGACCAGACAGATGTGTGCTTATGTCTATGTCTAAACTATGTCCAGTCAGTTAAACAACAGATTTGTTGATTCTACAATCTGGTAATTGGAACTACTGTCGTCTTAGCATGACAGCAAACTAAAAACTCCCTCAGTGTGAAGCAGCTTCTAATGATACGTTATACCGAGCCTGCTAAAAATCACTAGAAACTCCTTCTGCCTCTTGTTCAAACATAGCAGTTCACTGGGCTGTGTGAACATCATAGCTGCATCACAGGGGTCAATATCAAGTTTATCAAGCTCCTGTACAAATGTCAAACATGCTTGTTTAAGTAGCCAGCAACCACACATATGGTCCCACATTGCTACACATTTTGACATAAATAAAGGCCTCAACTTGCCACCCTGCCACACCACCCCCCACATAATGTCCAATATTGTACTTGAGGTCAAGCAGGTCAAGCAACCTTCAGCAGGGCTGCCTTTTTATTGCAATGTGATGGTGTTGTGTGACCAAGGTCTTGCAGCGCGCCAATATGTTTATTATTAATATTGCCCCTGCTCCTGACTCCCCAGGAAAATTAAGGCAACCTTTAGTAGCTGACAGGAGAAAAGGTGCCGTGACATTGCTGAGTCTAAACCTTCCATGCTTACTAAGTCAATGATAATGAATTAACTAGGGGGTGCTGATGTTTATTCAGCTGCAATGCCCTCAGCTGTCATGTTGTATTATGTATGAGCACCACAAACAACCTGTGCCCTGTGACAGCCTGCAGGGCCTCCATATGTGTGTGTGTGAGGGACAAATGTGAAAAACAGAGCAAGCAGAACAAAAAGATTAATTCAGTACTTGTTGACTTTCTGAGTCTTTAACTCCGACTTCACAGTGTGAGGTGTCACCTTCTTTCTGATTCATCATAAAAATTTGCCTATTTTCAAATTTCCTCTGCTTTTGTTTTGAAATCTCATTGGAACTTGCATAACAGAATTCCAGTGAGTCATCTCTGTGTAATACTGTGCTCCTCTCCAGCAAGCAAAGAGCTTGCTAAGGTTGACGACAATAAGCCTTTGCTTCCAACCCTTAGAAGGAACTGAATTTTTCATCCCAGCGGCCAAGTCTTACGTAAGAAAATGACTTGCTGAGATGCCTATCACTCCTACAGTCCTGACATTCTCTCATGGTGCCATTCTGTCCTCTGTCTTACAATGCATGTGTTAGCTGATAATAGACTGTTTTCACACCTCTCAGCTTTGTAATATCTCTTCTATTCCAAGGGAGGTTTTGACCAAATTGCTGAAAATCACTGCAGATAAGTTTAGCCCACTATGCTTTGTGATTATTATCTTGGCATTGCCTGCTGTTGTGGAAGAATAGCAATCCAGACTATGGCACGTTCAAGATGAATAATATGGGAATATGAGAGCCTCTATAATGTTCAAAATTAAATGACTTGTAATGTGACGTTGCTTCCAGAAATAAGTGCATTAGACACTAAATTTAGAGAATTTATAGAAGGGACAGGATGTTAGCTTAATGTTAAAGTTTAGGCGCAGACAGGAGTATTAGCTTGGTGCATTTTTATTCATTAGAAATGACACATGATCCATTTTGTTGGATAAAATGGATAGAATGTAGTTTAACTAGATTAATTTAACTAGATAAATCTAGCTAAACTACATTAAATCTTCAAAGCAAAATTATCATAATGCCTTAAAAACTGTCATCACAAAGACTGAAAACAGTAGAATGAGAAAAATAACCCTCCATTCATGTCATAGTGATGTCAACTGTGTTATCTCATCTCAGCCCATGCTTTATCCCCAGACGTCATATATTGACGCTCTGTCAAGTATCTTCAGCTATAGGGTAGCTGTACTGAGTTAGAGAAGAACTGCATTAGGCACGTGTGAGTCATAAAACAGCAGACCTCCCACAGAGCGGTGAGAGGTGTTTGAGTCCAGTATGAAGCAGTGCTATTAAATAATAAATTAATAAATAAATAGATTAATTTGTTTGTGTATTTGGATGCATTTTTTAATCCAAAACTACAGTTGAGTAATTTGTGTTTCTAAACCTGTCCTCATTGTTGTCCCACACTGGAGACCAATAAAGTGTATGTTCCACCAGCATGCATCAGTCTCATCATGAATAAGTTGCAAAAATGATTAACATCATTAATAATTAACCACAATTTTAGAATTATAATTAACAAAATTAATGGAAATTCTAGTAAAATGATTAGTGATTACCTTTTTATATACTTTTACTACAACTAGATTTATAACACCAATGGAATCGTGTAATGAAGGAATTTGGGAGTTTGGTGATGGCAGAGGCTGGCCTCATAAAGCCAAAACCACAAGAATTCCCCAGTTCTTAACAGGCTGTATTACACTTTAACAGCACATACTGGGCAGGCAATATTATCTGAGCATAACAGCCTAACAACAGGAAAATGTTGCTAGATGGTGAAGGTGTAATAAACGTGCATATTGCATATATATTATGAGTATGTGGTACATGCATGTGTGTGTGGGTGAGAGAGAGAGAGACAAAAGGGGAGAGAACAAAAATGGTGGCCTCAGGGGAGAAAAGCAAAATGGCCAATAAACAAAAATGGCAGACAAACAAGATAGACTACAAGCAAAATGACAGCCTGCAGGGGCTGCATATGTGTGTGAGAGGGACAATGGGCCACGTGAACAGATCTGATTGCAAACCCTGAGATTTGATTTTTGAAACTCTAGCTTTTGGTCAGATCTTCAGTATTCACCCGCTCTCAGCATGACAATAAAAATATCATCTACCAAAAGAGAGAAAAAGAAACTCTACCCTCAGACCAAAATAAACAGAATGAAATCACAACAAAACCCACTAAGCATTCAGCATTTCAATATGTAATCATTTAGCATCAAAATAAAACTAATAGAATAACTAACTCATCCAAAATGAGCCTACTTACCTACAGCCACACTGTGGCTGTCATACTGTATGTGTCTTCTTCCCTTTTTCCTACCAGAATTGCAACATGTAAGCTCTATGATGTAAACATGCAGCAGAGTTATTTTTTTGTCAGTTGAAATTCTTCTGTTTATGTGTGTGATGGAGGGACAGAGGATCATTGCCATTTTGGGGACAAAAATGATCCGTCAGCTTTAACATTAATTTTGTTCAGACAGCATGGTTACATCCTGTCCTGTTTTTCCTGTAACATGAGTCTGCAGGTGGAGTCCAGCTTGTCCAGCTACATTGTTTTAGTGTTTAAATCTAACATGGTGGTTGTAGTGCCTGAATGCAACTATAGTGTTTTGGTTTGTTTTTTTAAACATTATGTGTCTGGTAGGCTAGTGGATAAGGCGCAGCTCTCTCGCTGCTGCGTCCTGGGTTCGAATCAGGGTTGCATCAGGAAGGGCATCCGGCGTGAAACACGTGCCAATTGTCAACATGCGAGTCGTCAGTGTGACGATTCGCTATGGCGACCCCTAAACGGGAAAAGCCGAAAGTGACTTTCTTTCTTTCTTATGTGCTAAATATGTTATACCTCTACTCCATTTTACACATTTACTGAGTAATATGCTCTGTTCCATTTTCTATACTATTCTATAACACAAAAATATTATTACAAACAAAACAAAGTATGCATGTACGTATGAGTAAATAGGCTAGAGCTCCACCTCAACAAGCTGCAGTAAAAAAACCACACATTATTGGATCATGATTATTATTACATATAATCCATATATGGCCATATTATTAGGAGTTTAACCACTACAATTTTCTTCAAGGAGCTTTCTGTATGAAGCAGCATTCATCCTCCCCTTACTCTTTTGCCTCACCTTGTTGTTAATCATGTTGATTCTTTTAACTATAATGGATAGATGAACTTTCCCTAAAATAGTACTTGATTTGTTGATTCTACAATCTGGTAAATGGAACTACTGTCCTCTTAGTATGACAGCAAAGTATGACAGTATGGCATTTGTATTTCCCTTTACAAAAGGGAAATTTCCCTATAGCAGATCATTTTTTAAATAAAATAGCGTGAAGGGTGTCTCATTTTTTAATAACATTTACTTAATAACAAGTACTTACATAAGAGATATTTCTTCACATGCATTTTTTTCTGTTGAAATTATGGCTGGACACAATTATTCAGATATTCATTCTTTGTGTAAGTAATCTGTTTTGACTTTTGGTATTCAAATATTCAAGACGAGGAAATTTCAGTGCAGTCTTGAGTCCAACACAGCTTGGTCTGGTAAGCTAGTATTCATGTCTCTGAAAATGCTGGTGCAAATCATAAGTAAAATGTTGTTAAAACACAAATGACACCCTTTTACCACCTCAACATAGACAGACAATGAGCTACAATTTACTTTTCATCAAGAGAAGCTGCTTTGATGAAATATTGAATGTGTTTTTGTAGTATGTTTTTTTGGTGTTGCACTTTTGTAGCGAGTCCCCACACAGTTATCTTGTTCACAAATTCACATTGTGTGAATTTCTGAATTAAACCTTTAGGATCATAATGCAAAAGTGCCTGAATGACAGAATATCATCACTTTATCAGATGATGATGCACCAATGTTACTGTACATACAGTATGTCTGAAATGGAACACAGGTACTGTTTAAACATGGCAAATCTTTGAATATTTGCCAGTCATTACTACCAAAGCGCCGAAGCCCAAAAATTGCCTTTCAGGAAAGCCCTAAATAAAGTTAATGTTATCTGAAGTTCAGGGCTGAGTCTGATCTGAACTACACCCCTTCTGTCTTCACACTATTTTAAGCCACTGAAACCACCATACTTCTACTTTCGCTTTTTGTTAGTGCATCTGCTCAACAGCATGACTGTGACTCACCAGTGTGTCTGTTCATCATGGATTTCCTCTTCATTTCACCATCTGACCATCAATTATTCCCTTTGTCAAACAGCTGGCTTAACCTGCTCACCTGGGCTCCATCCTCAGCCCTCTCTGGCCTTCCCATCCTACACTGCCACCAGACTGCAAGCTGCTTTCGCCAGGGCTGTCTTTCTGGCTTCTACTGTCACAGCTGCCTTATTAGACACTTCTGCCTCCATGAACATTGTCTCGCCCTGCACCACTCGTGTTTCTTCATCCCCTCTTTCATTAGGTTTGTTCCTTGACTCCACAATATTCTCTGGCTTCAGCTGCTCCTCTTCAGTGTGTGCATCCCCCACAGCCATCTGTCCTTCTCTGCAGCTCCCTCAGTTGGTTTTGGGGGCATGTGGGATGAGAAAATTATTTGCTGGTTTGGAGTCTGTCTCTGATATCACCCCTGATCTTTTCTCATTCCATATTTGAGCTGCCACTACAGTTTCTGCAAAAGAAATCCCAGACCACCTTATCAAGATCATAGGCCACAAAATTATTCTATATACGATCCTGACCTCAAGACAATAAGGTTTTGGGGGTCTGCGAGTACTGCTTAACCTTCCCCCAAAAACCGTCAAGTACACATGAAACTACGTATACACAAGCATTCCAAATCCTTATACAGTATTTTCCATTTGTACTTAGTGAGAGCAGGTCCCTGCTAGTGAAATGAAAATAACGTAAATTATATGAGGCTTGGGAGCGGGACACACTGTTTAAATCATCCTACTTCAGTCCTTAAATTATCTTTTTCTATCCCTGCTGGGGGGGTCTGTCAGTGCCCATGGCATGGACCTGCTTAACCTCCCCCCAAAATCATCAAGTGCACAAGCAAACATTCTTTATATTTTCATTTGTGCTTGTATTTGCACACTCTTAGGACACACTACATAGACAAAGTATTCGGTAACATACATCATTAGTGTTCAGCTGTTTCAACCTCCACTCTGTCTTTTGTGTTGCAGTGCCATCATTCTGGGGGCTGGTAAACTCTGCTTGGAACCTGTGCTCGGTGGGGAAGAGGCAGTCGCCAGTCAACATTGAGACCAGCCACATGATCTTTGACCCCTTCCTCACTCCCATAAAGCTGAACACAGGTGGACGCAAGGTAAAGACACAAATGCAAAGACATACTATTCTCTGCTGTCTGCTTGATGCTGAAGCTTTGTATGAGTCTCTTTTTGTTGCTAGTTATATCTGTAAGATGTTGCTCTATATTCCTTGTCACTATGGTGCTGGTTGTTGTTTCAGTGCTACTGCAGTTTGATAAAAATGTGTTTCCATCGTCAGTGCTCCTGACTTCTGGTTGTGTTGGCAGACAATGTGAGCATAATTGTTGTGTTTTTGTTAAAAAATACCGTCAACTTAAAGGCTTTACTGAAGGAATTCTGCAGCCTAATGGGGACTTAGTTGAGCATATTGTTTATTATTTTCTCCTGTACAGTTGTGTACCAAGAATAGTGTGTATCAGGAATCTGTTCAGTCTTGTGCCATATGACGGAAGGTAATTGGGAGCCCAGATGGGCTTCTTCAAAAATGTACAGTTGCACAGTGAGATCAATGTTATGATTATTTTATTTATGTATGCCAGCTGTGAGTACTGGATTAGACTTAGATAATGAGAGAGTGTATAGGATGTATTGCAGAGTGCCACCTATGGGAGAGCTGTTCTAGTGTCTTCACCTACATTCCAAAATAGGCCCATATTATGTCCTTGGTCCTCTGTTTGGTCAGATTTTGGTCTTTATTGAAAGAAAATGAAATTGTGGCTCTGTCTACACTAGAAGGCAATGAAATATGTAGGGCATGCTGCAATTTGAGTAGTCCTAATATATTTGCTCTCTGGTATAACTTCTTGAAATAAAATTAAATGTAAAAATTCATCCTTTTGCAAGGGCTCTCCTGCTGCTCAATCAATGACTCCACTTTGAGAGCAGTTGCCCTGCAGTGAGTCCCCTGTAAGGACATCAGTGGTAGAAGAAGTATTCAGATCCTTTACTTCAATAAAAGTAGAAAAACCACTCTAGAAATATTCAATAAATTCTTTGAAATATAGTCAAAGTATAAAGTAGCAAAAAATAGAAATATTAATTAAGAAATATTACCTTAAAATTATATTTAAGTAGAGTGGTTACTTCTCACCACTTGACGTCAGTCATATTTGGACAGTTTTCTTGCAATTGCAATTATTTTAGGCCACGATCTGCTAACCCCTGGCCATACTGTAGCTTAACCTCTTACTCTAAGGTGGCATATTTGAAACCTATTAAAGCTTCAAACACTGCTTCAGGTTTTATAAGTGGAGATATTCACTCAGTAATTGACTGCCATGAGCCTGTGAACAGAGTTCCCTGTAGACCTCCCTCTTCCATCTTATTGGTTAGTTTCTAACACTCTACTATAGTTAAAATAATAATAAAAATAATAAAAAGAGAATTTAAGGTTTTATATTTTTTATAAAGTTATCGCATAGCAACAAGCAATAATGCAAAACGCAAGATCATAAACAGCTAAGAATGTTTGATTCACTTACAACTCTACAAATCAAAAAAAGCTATTTTTAATTATTAATTTAAGCTCTTTACTCTAATTAAAATTGTCATCATTGAGCTCTCACAAGCTCAATAAAAAGTCAAAGATTTTCTCACTTATCACCAGTTACTGGTTGGTTCAAGTTGATGGCTGTTGAATGTTGTTGAAAATCATAATTCTAACACTGGTTCTAGGCAGGGACTCGTGCATTTCTTGCTGAAATGTGGATTCTTGCTGAACAGTTCAGGCATCCCTTGTTGTGTGGCTCTATCTTCTTTCCATCCCTCCTTACAGGCCGGGCTGGCCTGCAGTAGGTGTGTTCCCGGCCTGCTTCTCTGGGCTTTCTCGGTCTTCTAGAACTCACAAAGCCTCCGGCAGCAACTGCTAAATGCCATACATCTTTGAACGTCTTCTTGCTTTCAGTCACTTGAGGCTGGTATTAAACTAATAGTTATTAATATTTATAAATCTGACAGATAATTAGGGTGCCAATCAAGAATTCTGAAAATGTGCTGTTTTACTAGACTGAATGTGCTGTAGATAAGTAAAGAGAATAAGAAAATAAACATACACTCATTCATCATTTGTCTAGATTTTACAGACAACAAGTACAATTGTTTGAATTCATCTGGTACTTGTCTTCACCCACAAAAACCATGTCCAATTTTATCTCTGAGAAAACTTCCCAGAATCCAAAGGCCCTTTGGGCCTCTTTTACTTTATCCCCATCTCTCTCTCTCCCTCCTTTCTCTTCAGAGGACTAACTGTAATCTGTTGTCTCTCCATCTCTCTGATCACCTGAGCTGTCAGCCAGTAAACACAAAGCTTCCTCTTGTCATTACTGATTCATCTCCGCTCTGTCTCTGGCTGTTTGGCAGCCACTCAGCCTTAGCCAAATACACTAAGCAGGCTTCCACCTTGCCACCTCAACACAGAGAGAGTTTAAGCTCACTTTCTGCCCAGGAGGAAAAGCACAGACAAAGATTAATCCTCCCCTCCTCCTCCTACACACACATGAAAACTGCAGAGGGAAGATTAACTTTTGTGCTGCCTTGTATTATGGTTAATGAATAGGATATTCAATTGATCTTTGAAGAGAAATTTTAATTAATGATGTGGAGACATGCAAGGCTATGCGTGGTGGATTGAAGGAATCACAGTTATTAAAAAGGCACTATTAATTGAATATTTACACTGCAATAGAAGAGCTGCAATTACTTGAAGAGATTTAAATGAATTTAATCATTTTGGATTTCAGTCCTCACTCTCTTTATGGAGTGTTTTGCACATTTATGAATAGTACTTAAGAAACAGGATTAAAGCCGTCCCTGGTAGGCTAGTGGTTAAGGCGCAGCGCTCTCACCGACTGCAGGTAGAAGAAGAAACAGCAGAAGTACTTTCACTCTGATGAGAATAATCGCATTCCCAAGTTTGCCCCTACCGGCCAGCCAGCCAACCAATCAGCTATAAGCTTGATAGCAGGTGTCTGGTTTTACTAGAGTGTGTACCTGCATGTGAAGCTATCTGCAGGTTAGTGCTGGTTCCACTCCTGTTTTTTTCCAGTTTCCAGGTCAGATCACTGCAGATGTTTGCAGGCAATGTTCATGTTCATGGACCCACATAAACTAGTCACAGGGTTCAGCATAACAACAACAACAACAATATTAATAATAATAATATTCTTCTTCTTCCGGCTGTTCCTAATAGGGGTAGCCACAGCGAATCATCCTGTTTCCACCCAACTCTATCTTCGGCATCTTCTACTCTCACCCCAATTAACTTCATGTCCTCTTTTAGCACATCCATATAGCTCCTCTTTGGCCTTCCTCTTGACTGGCAGCTCCATCTCCAAAATCCTTCTACCAATATAACCACTATCCCTCCTCTGCACATGTCCCAACCATCTCAATCTGGCCTCTCTGACCTTGTCCCCAAAACAGCCTCCTGGTCACTCCTAAAGAGAACCTCAACATCCTCATCTGTGCTACCTCCATCTCTGCCTCTTGTCTTTTCCTCACTGCTACATATAGAGTTATGGTACAGAGTGTAGGTCTCACTACACCTTTCCTTTGATTCTTGCTGACACTCTCTGTTACCTGCCTCTTCATCTCTTTCCCACACTCCCCATTGCACTGGACTTTTGACCCTTCTTGACCTCAGTCCCTTGTAACCTCACTGTTCCACTACCCTCCCTCTTGTTCATACACATGTATTCTGTCTTACCACGACTGACTTTCATTCCTCTTCTTTCCAGAGCAGACCTCCACAAGAAGGGACTCAAAGCCGATCCTTGATGTAGCCCCACCTCCACCTTGAACTCTTCTGTCTGACCTAAAGCACATCTCACTCCTGTCGTACTCCTCTCATACATATCCTGAACTACTGACGTACTTTTCTGCCACTCCTGACATCCCCATACAGTACCATAGCTCCTCTCTCAGCACTCTGTTGTACGCTTTCTCTAAATCCACAAAGACGCAATGCAGCTCCTTCTGACCATCTCTATACTTCTCCGTTAACATTCTCAAAGCAAAAATTGCATCAGTAGTGTGCCTACTGCTCACATAGCTATACTGCTGCTCACAGATATCCACTGCCTTTCTTAGCCTAGCTTCCACTACTTTTTCCCATAGCTTCATTGTGTGGCTCATCAACTTTAAAGTTTAAAGTGTGTGCAGCTGAATGATTATGAAACATTTCTTGTAACTTGTTCAACCCTGACTTTTGGGTCTAGCACACATGTGACTTGTGAGTGTGTCACATTTTTACTCCTGTTATCCCCCCCCCATCCTAGCAGTCTTCTTTGACACCTCTTGTTGACCTAATCCAAACAGTCTAAACTTGAAGTTGGCTTAATTGTTAACACTGCTTCAGAGAGAAAGGGGTTTTCTGGTTTACAAATGAGTAAATGACCTGACAAGTATGAATCTGCAAACACAAGCTGATGTTCAGCTGTGAAAGGTGAAGAAAGCATTACAATAACATAAATATTCAATTATGCAAATTACAGATTCAAATTAATTACACTGAAGTTTGGGCTGGATGGACCTGTCACAGTATTACAGAAGGGAGTGGGGTCTCTTGCATGAGAATTGTGATTACTATCGTCTGACTGAACCCCATTCTCACTCACGGCAGGCTTGAATGCGAGATTCTGCTCCTGTCTGGCTCCACGAATAGCTCTATGTGTAGCAGCAATGTCGAAGTCAGCATCCATGGCATATCCATCTGTGGGCCTGAATCTCAATTACAAACTGCTCAGCAGAGGAATAGATGAAAAAATTGTGTGAGGAAGCCAAAAGGAAAGGCTCAGGGTATGTTGGCCCAGATTACTTAAAAATGTCACTGTAGGTGTGTCCTGATGGTTCACTTAATTACAAAATTTAATTAAAATTTAAACTGAAAGTTTTTTTTTTTTTTTTTACCACATATCATTTAACAACAAGCAGCTGGTTGAAGACAGATGGCTGTTTTATGCTGTTCCTTCCTTTTATACACTATAAAATTAGTTCTAAATGTATCAGTCTACTAAAGCACAATAAGGAAAATGTGACTCCCCCAAAAGTCAAAAACATT